CCATATACAGTTGGTTCATTAGTGAAGTTAAATGGCATTGGGCTGTAACCAGTTGCAGAATGAGGTGCATATGTTCCTGAATAAGGCATGTCCCAGGCATTCGGCGGAGGTAATGGTCCGACTGTATCGCAATCTAGTTTCATGCTACTCATGGCTGAACACAAGTCACCAAATATATAATAACATTGCTCGGAAAATGTTATTTTGTTCACTGTGTGCCTAATAAAGCCAGCTTTTAGCATAAGAGATGCATATTTCCTTGCATCGCGTCGATCAATAAATCCTTCTACATGATTATTAAGCCAATCCACAACATCTGCTCCAATAAATGCATTTGGTATTATTATTTTAAGCCACATACGATCACGAATTTCTAACCCTGAGTCAGATCGAGCCATCGCTCTTACTACTGTCGGCATATCGGTATTCACCGTAAGGTGTAGTTCCTCTAATGGTCCTAATCAAAATGTATTCTTTATGTAATATTTGTCTACCCATATCTATTGAAATCTGAAGTTCAGTTAACAGCCTTTTCAACTCACGTTCTGTATCTGGCAGTGTACTTGCGAGACTGCTGGATGTTGATGTTAACGTGGTCGCACTTGGCGGGCGTGGAGGAAAACCTTCCCCCCTTATAGCTGCTGTATGTGCTACCCAAGCACCAGGATCTATAGGTCGTACAGGTTCTGTACGCGGTATTGTGAAATAGCCTTTTGGATTAGGATCCCAGCACTTTGCAACAACTAATTTTATTGGTCTAAAATTATATTTGTAACCATGTTATAAATTCTTCGTTTATTTATTAAAGTTCTGATGTATTACTATTATAGACATACCCTGGTTTCTGAACTACTTCGCGTAGTACTTTAACTGCTTCATCATTTGACATATTTTCGAAATTAATGTCATTTACTTGAAGAATCATGTCACCAGGTTCTATTCGGCCATCTAAAGCAACTGCTCCCCTGTACATTTAAAATTAACTAAATGAGAAAGCTGCTTTTAAAGGTATACCGAAAGTATTTTGTTGAATACTCTGTTCTATTAATTTAATGTACAGAGCTCTATCTATAACATAGTCTAAAATTCACCGGAATTTAACACATACCCTTTCATTATTGAACCAACATAGATTCCACCATCTCCACCTTTGTTACTCTGACCAACAATACTAATTCCAAGGAAATTAACAGTATCCATATTCAATGAAACTGTTATGATGTTCAAAGACATTGTACTGTCTGTGATACTGCTAAAGGATGATGTTCTAGACATAGGTGGCAACCTATGACGCCTTCTTCTTTGTGGTCTACGCCGTTCTAACATTTAAAAATACATGAAATTCATTTTCTAGTTTAAATCTCATATTTATTTTCGTTTTTTCTTTTCTAAAATATATTTACCTAAAGTTGCTCTGTCAACTGTACTACTCATATTGGTATGTCTGCCTGTAGTTGATGTTATGTGGCTACTAGCATCATCATCTGATTCTAAAAATGTTGTTGTCTCTAGATCTGAACTTAAAATAGAAGCAGTCTCATAACCATGGCCTGATCTGTGCTTTGAATGACCATTTATGCGAAGTCCTAAGTTGTTAAAGAAGCAATAAAAATAAACGAATAACAGATTTTTCACCTTTAATATTTCAAACAAAGGCAATATTTAAAAGATTTAGAACTTAGAGATTAATCTATAAACCACTAATAACATACCATTATATTTATTGTATTTTTCATATTTATCTGAATGATGTCTTGAACTTTTATGCAAATGATGCCCTTGCCGACTACTTGTAATACTTTCAGTTTCAGTTAATGTGTCATCATGTGACAATGGTGGTGGACCACGGTTTGTGTGACCAGGTGTCACATGATCAACACGATCATGTTTTACCTCACTGTGTGCTACTGAATCTGTGCACTGTGATGCACCATCTGACACATTGCTGCCTTCAGCAGACACCAGCTATTGGTAAATAAATTGTTTTATTTTTTTAATTAAGAACTTTTTATATTTTATCAAATTTTAATTCATATCTTATGAAGCATTTTTGTAGAATAAATAGTATATCAATGTATTGTATATGTTGTAATGTAAGTATATATATCTTACTGAAATAATTCATAAATATTTCTGTACCATTACAGAACATTAAATTAGTCAGAATGTACATGTTTGAAGACCAACATTTTTTCATGTTTTGTTGATACAAAAATGATCACAAAATTTATATTGACAAATTTTTAACTACCAATGATTTTGAAAATTAATATCAAAATTTAAAATATGTATTTCATTATACATTATAAAAAATGGATTATTCTTTGTTTTGTCACAAGAAAGAAAAAGAAAATGAAACATGTATTCTAATAATTAGAATTTCTTTGAGAATCTTACCCAAGAAACAACCCGTCCATTAAAACAGGGAAGATGAGCATCATCATCTACAATTTCTTCTTTCACCACACTATGAAAAGAATAAAAATGTTTTTAATATTCCATTTATTCAGTTTATTATATAATGAGTAAAATCATTATAATAGCTAATTCAATCAAGTTGTAAAAATTCATAAAATAGTAAATAATATAAATAATACAAAAAATTACAAAAAAAAAATGCGATGAATTCCTACTGTTAGATCAGGTAAAATTATAAAATATGCCTTTGAATACAGTTTGCCATAAGTTATTTTATATAAAAATATAATACACTAGTCATATCGATATTAAAAATGTTGAAAAAGCAACTACAAATAGACTGTCAAAATAGAGAACAAGAAAAACATTAACAAAATGTAATTCTATCACCGAAGCGGATACTGTTTAAATCGTAGGGCATTGACTCGAGTCGAAGATGAAAGATAATGTCTCGCTACAGTGTCAATCGTTAATCCGTATTACGGCAGAAGTGGAAGCGAACATATAAGGGACGTGCGTATCGATGTGACACTCACCCAAAATCATCGTCCATTGATTTGAAGAAATACTTATAATTCGGCCGATTCAAGACATTTTTGAAGTCGGCAAGAGTGACCCTTTCCGGTGAGATAGTAAGCTTCACCAGGTAAGGGGTTTCCTCGTCGTCAATGTGATATATGATTTTAGTCTCTTCCATTATGGAACTTTATTATTCTACGTGCATTTGCAATAAAACTGATTCACCCAAAGCCCACTAATATGAACAATTCTCTTAAACCAATATGGCGCGTCACAGTCCGAGCCAAAGCCCTCGCGCGTACGATGATCGTTCGTTCATGAAGACTACAGGTTTATGCGAACTCCGCGGTACGTAACATTATTACGAATGCATGCAGTAAGTTACGAAGAATTCGTTGACATTATTCACGAGAGTTGCACCGCGCGTATTCGTTGCTTTCGACGAGCTGAATTAAACGTCAACATTCTTGTCGACATTACACACACTCGCGACGGTCGGCTCGACACTCGACAGTACGCTCGAAGATTGGAAACGAACGAAGATAGAAAGACAATCTCGAGTCTCATTTTTACACCCTTTCAGCTATTCCCTGCCTCCATCGTCAGATGGCATTGCTGCATCATTGTCGAAGATGGCGAAGGGTTCTGAAATCCATTATACGTAACGCTTCTACTTTAAATGTTAAAATGAATACTTCGTGTAGTTACATTTTTTAATAGATTTAGAATCTTTTTTATACTTTTATCATGAGATATTTATTTTTTCTACAAAGGAGGTATGCAACTTTTGACATGTATTTTTATAGAAATATAATCCATATACGTAACATCGATATAATTTTTATTCTAATAAAACTTTTAATATTTTCGAAATATTTAATTATACCTTATTACGAGAAGCATATGTATTTCTTTATATTTATACTTAGTATCGAATTAATATACCTCTTTATAAAACAATTTGAACTGAAGAATTCTGTGGATTCGTTAGGATCGTAAATATTTGTCAAAGGAAAAAGAACTTTGATAAACAGGCATCGATCGTATAAAAGTCAAGTAGACATTATAACAGAACTTTGAATTTCGAGAAAGTAATATTATCTTTTGTATTTATCTTTTCAATCGAATAAGCTGATTTTTATTACAGACCTCTTACGTAACTAGTTCGATATAGACTTTCTGTGTATCACATGTGCTTGCTTATAGATATAAAATGACACACTCTACATATGTTCCTACACAACATATTGATTATATCCCCATTAACTTTTAATATTACCCTATTGGCCATAATATAGATAAATTAAACAGAAATGAATTATTTCATGTCAATGTACTATAGATAGATTTATTACTCCCATACCAGCATGCGACCCTCGATCCCATTCAACTTCCGGCTAACAATTCGGAAGCGAAAGGTAATGTTTGCATTCGATAGTCGGGCGTACAACACGATCGCGCCCTTTTAAGTACTGGGTAATTTCCAGGTACGTTCACACCGCGTCATTAACCGTAATTCTATTCATTATTTTTTTCCGGACAACAAAAACGAAAGACACTGTATCGCTCGGCTTTCAATCCGACAGCGTGAAGCGTCGGCTTAATTATACGGTCGCGCGAGCAGAAGAAAAGGGATTTTAAATGAAATTAAATCACGCATCCGCGTAAAGAACCCACAGGGACAGCCATGCTGCATAAATCGCGTTGTTGTATCCTTGAATAAAAGAAATTACGTCTGGAACCGGTTTTATCAACAATTTAACACCGGTTGTCATTAAGTGATGCTCAAAACGATCAGGTGCAGATTACGAGTCTTGCATTTGATTATAAATGCAATAATAATGACGAGTCGCCGATAAATATAGAAGGATCAAATATGGAATAAGGAAGAAGAAAATGATTGATTATTACAAACTATAATTATTGTATTATAAGATAGTATCATAGTTGGACATTTACCTACAATTATTATAAAAGCTTCATTATGCACGAAATCTGCCTAACAATTATTCGCAATTAGATGATTAAGTCGATGTAATTTTTGCGACTATTCATTTACAATTTTAAGTTATAATTGAATGCGATATATTCATTACGAAGTCGTCCCATTTCTTTCGCCAAATATTTAACGCTTTCTTTTTCTCAGAGTTATTCAGACTGCTATAAATAAGGGAGTTCTTGGCCAATTGCTTGAGACTTCTGAGATCGGCGTGTGCTGACATGAGAGCCATAAATGCTTCGTAAAAGTCATAGCTGAGAGCCCTCGCACCCCATAAACCGGGATCGTCGTTAGATATCACTATTGGATATCCTCCAGAGAATAATGGCCTGGCAGCATGATTACGGAGATCATCGACAAGTTTTAGGACTTGATTGGAGATCGGGTTCACTTCGATAGCGATGCCCATTGTTTTAGCAAGCTCCAAGAGGAACGGATGAGAGACCAGCGCATACCTGGATAGAAATAATGTAAAACCACAAGAATAAAAAAGTCGTTCCCGTTATCGTTCGAAAACTTCACTTTTCATTTTCGAGGTCTTTGACTGCTTCATATAATCTGGATAAAACGATAAGATAAATGACCGAAAATACATAATGAAATCTCGTGCATACACGTTCCAGTTGGTATGCTTCGATAGAGAAAGAGTATCTTCTGAATTATTTGGATACGCGTCGAGATATACACTTCCTTAGCAATTTTTATGCTATAAGAAATAATTCATTATAGGAAGAAATCAGTTCGTATCGCTTAAAAATTGTACATTTGATTTCCTTATCGACTATTTTAATCTTATTTTACTTATTAAACGTAATCGTAGAAAGTAATATTTTACGAAATTAACTCACCCATGGCCAATACGTCGAGTATTTAATAAAATAGCATCGATAAGATTCTCATCAGTAGCAGTGCCTAACCAATTCGTTTCGCCTGCGTGGAAAAAGAAATTAATGTCATATTCTTCCACACTCTTCAGTAAGTCCATGAAGTACTCAAGCGTATGCCCGAAGTCCTCCTGGCCGACTAAATCAAATCCAGCCACAAAATTAGGATACAACTTTTTCAATTTCTTTAAGGTTTTGGTATAAAATCGCGCTTCTTCGTAGTTGCAAGATCGCCTAGGAGCATAGATCAGTCTGGCTCCTATGAAGTCCGGATGTTTTTCCTTGAATCTGTACGTGGAAGCTGAATTATTAACATTGCATTATGGTGGTGTAACCGATATACAGTGGTTAACACTGGTCGTTCCGATTTATTCGGTGTTAAAGACTTTTATTATTATTCTGCGTAGATGAACGAGAACACCTACTAGCCAAGACAAGGTACACTTGAACAAGAAGACGTGAAGAAAGTGTCGGAAAATTTTATAATTAATTACTTAAATTCGATTATTTAATTTGGATTCTTGTTCTGTCGGAATACCTATCTATTCTGGTAAGTGCTGAAGTACTCTAGATACATCGATTTAATCAACATACAAGAAAATCTGATAATGAAAGATAGGAACTAATTGATATTTTTTTTTTTTTATAGACAAGAGATTTGAAAAATATGCGGTTGTGCAACTTCTCGAAGAATTAAAGTATAAAGAAGTGAAAAAAATGGGGAGTACCTTTCAGTAAGTTTCTCGTAGATACCGACCAAATCTTCTGGCTTGTACTCCGTGCCATCGAAATCGTATAAATTTGGCAAGGTGGATCTTAGCTCGAGATACATTACATTATCCTCGTACAGTTGCTCCAGAGCTTCGAGGTAATGATCCTCGTAAACAGGCTTGTACGTCAACAAAGGATTGATGAACTGGAAGATGTCGTTAAATTTGACCCACGCCTTGTTAACGTTTGGATAGACAAACGTAGGATCGTTACATTGCATGGACATCCTCTTCTCGATCATGTCGTTTATTATGGAACCTCGAATCGAATCTTCGCGCACCTTCATCAAGAGTTCCCAGTCACATGATTTATCCGGCACTCGGAAAAATTGCAGCTTAACTACATCTTTGACAACGCAAACGTACAAGTCGTCGCGATAGGTGATGTTATAATAAATATAATCGCTAGCAACGAGAGCTGTATCGTGGGCGTGGAGTATCGCTCCTTTTGGCATGCGACGGATTATTTGGAAAACCTTCGACTTCTCAATTTCATCCTTTGTTTCAAGGAAATTTCGTGCAGGAGCAAACTGATGTGGATTCTTGAAACCTAAAGGAATTTATAGACTCAGTGAAACCAAGAACATAAATAAAAATATTACAGTAAAGAAAACAACAAAATAAAAAAGAACTTCTAAAGAAATGATTTCCATTATTCAAGAGGAGAACCGAATTCTTATTTATTAGTTGTGAAATTAACGGATATTAGAATCTTAAAGATTATACGAGTATCGTATCGTTTGTTTGTAGATCTGACGCATGTACCACGTGCTACATACATCAAACAATGTATCAAATAAGTTTCTTTCGTGCCATTACATATTCAATCGGTGCAACATGCGAACGTTTCAAGGTATCGACAAGATTTTAAGTAACGAACAAACCAATGTTTAATTCTTCTTCCTTCCTCATCATTAAGATTTTGTTGGCGGCTTTTTCAACGTAGTTTAAAGTCAGATTGCCACCTATCATCATCCGTTGCTCACGTTTCAATATTTCATTACGGAGAATCGTGTAATTAGCACGTGGGAAAGCGACATTCACAGTTGCATACGTAAGAAATACTATGAATGAGAAAATGAATCCCTTCATGGTAAGTGATCTGTATCCAACGAATGGTGTCCGTTTTATATTAATCGTACGTGAATAGCAGGTTAGAGCTGAACGATCCGCTCACGTCAACAGCACTTTACTGACTGATCGCTTCTACAAAGATCATCGGTCATAGCTTTGTACAGATGAGTTGAGTACATACGATTCATGCTACGACTATGAGCATTCCAATGAAATCGTCTTAGTCTTCTTCGTTCACTCTTCTTTTTTAGCACGAATTTGCGTAAACCGATTTAATACATGTGGAACGAATGTATTTATAGTTTCTTCTCATGAAGAAGCTATTGCCTTGGCTATTATTTCACGAAGGGGTTATTTTAAATGAGACGTAGAGTCTCTTTATATACATTGAAAATATCTTTATCTTTCTTTTATTACCCAATCGATAAGACAATGTGATATTCTTGAATTAAATTATGTGCAGAGCAATGACTTCCACTGTGTCATTATCCAAATTAGATAATTTTTTCACCGCAAGCATCGTGTATACACAGTGTTCTTGTACGCAAATATTGTCCACTGTATAGGTTCAATATGTGTAAATACATGTCTAGAATGTAAGATAAATTGAAAGTAATTGAAATATAAAATGGTAACAAGAGGATTACAATAAAGTTCAATAATTAGGTATATACCCATCCGTGGAAAAGATTTATTTTCAGTGCAGACAACTTATTTCGTTACAGACTACAAATGGTTGGTTGGAAGTGCTTAAATTCGCATGGGCGAAAATATAAAATGCTCATAGCAGTCTCGTTTAGAGACTCAATCATTTAACTGTATTGTTTCATTTAGCTTCAATCATTTCAGATTCTCTCTAATTACATTATTAATACATATATCAACGAGTTACATTGAGCATACTTAAGCAAAAAAGACATTTCCTTTTTTTATAGAGATACACTAAAAATTATTGAAACGCGTTGGCCGAAGAGGAAATCTCATGCCTTGGATTTCTGGCGAATCATAATAGCAGAACATAATTTAAGGCACTCTTTGCGGTAAGCACCTTATGTTTACATAAATACTCAGCTGTTAATCACACTTTAAAATACATGTGATAGTTCTATATATAATTCGTCAATCGTTAAGGAGCCATTGATTAATTTTGCTGTTCGGATAGCAGATCAATAAGCATGTTGTCTAAGCACTTTCATGTATATTGTTGCCACAACAATGAAAGTATTGCAAATTAAACATCATTAAAAAAATTATTTAAATTTTGCAAAATTGGTGTGCGCGTATATTGATTAATTTTGTGATCAACTCTGACAATCTGTTTAATTCTATTGGCTCGTTAAATCGTATATTATAAATATCCGTAAAACTACACGTATATAAATTTTCGTAGTCCTATTGATACTAATATATACAATGTTGAATATATTATTACGGTTCCAAAATATATCGATTATAATAAAACAATCACTATTAGAAATCTAATAACTATCAGTTGCACCCATGTTGAATTTCTATCTAAAAATAAATAACTTAAAATTGAAAATTGTAATCGAAATGTTTAAATAATTGTATACTAAATTCTTTGCTGCACAAATGTGCATCAGTAACATTATTGTCTTGCATCATTTTATGAGGATGCTCATGGATGATCGTAAATGATATTCATAGAAAATTAGAATACGTTATATTGTTCCAGACCGACATTTCGATGATTTATCTTATTATTATTATTATTATTATTATTATTATTATTAATAACATTAAATTTGCAAAGGATATTATAATTGGACCAATATTTCTCCTATTTTTTTCTGCCACGAATATCGAAAAACAAAACTAAGATTTTTGGTTTTAACTTTCGAAATTGTCACTATCTGTATCATACAGATTTTTGTATATAAGTAATATAGTTAAATCGTAAATAATACAACTGTAACATAATTCAACTTTGTACCGCGTAAGTCACATTACGAAAAGGAGGAAAAGAAAAAAGAAATATTCAGTATTAAATAAAGTAAGATATTTCTTGTCTTAAATGCAGTCCTCTTCGTTGAAAGTATATAAACTCCATTAATAAGAAAATATATATTGCATAAATTAATGAAAAAAAATCACAAACCTCTATTTTATAACTAAATAACTATTTTCTAAGCAATATAGTTATAGAAAAAATATATTCTGGAACATACATATTCTGTGTTAATGAAGTTTATTCTACTATCAATATAATAAATCATGTATAAATTAATTTCTATCCCATATCATTGAACAGAGGATATGTGAACCCTCCTTTTCCTATTATTCTTAAGTCAAATCCTCCTCATATCATTTCAATTGTTCAATTATTGTGTTCATTCCAACCCACGCAATTTTAATAATTTGTAATCGTAGTATAGGACGTTTCACTTAATTTATTTATTTTCTATATTTTTGTCTCTATTAACAATGTGAAAAAATGTTTGAGAAACAAGTTTTAAAGCTCGGAGCAAAACATTTTCTTGCATCGTTAATAAAAATAGAACTACTTCAAATGTGTAAATTATATGAAACATCCTGTAGTATTTTAATTCAAAGGGTTACTTTGTTAAGAGGTCAGAGTTATCTTTATTATGCATATTTCAAGAAGTATCGTGCTCAGTATCTTTGATAAAATTTTTTAATTTTTCAAAGTCTACGAAAAAGCGGATTCGTCGGTTTTTACAACTTTGAAAAATTTTAATCGAGATACAAGCGGGAATTGCTACTTTCCGTTAATCGAACTTTTATCAATCTTTCTAATGCGATTCTAGTCAACCATCTTTACCATTTTTTAATAATGTTCTTTCGTCAAACCGCCTTATCAAAGATCCCTGAGTATGAAGCGTCAATGACCAGGACATCGAATAAATATAAATTGTCGCCAAAAAGTTGTGCTACTGTTTTAGAAAATTTTTGTATGATTTCCTCCAATCGATTTATCGAAATTATGAATATTTTTTAAGACAGTCTTAAGAAATACAACATTCCGTTTAAACTCAACTAGCTTGCTCAAATTCACAATTATAGCGTAGAAGATCTCAAGAAGTTTGATATCGTATACACTATATTTCACGCCTTAACGTGTAGTCATTATAATTACTTGAGGGTCGAATCAAGTAAATATGAGCTGCTGTCGCTAAACGGCCAAAGAAGCATTACTTACAAAGTAATGATGACAGTGAAATTAAATTACGTTAAGAGGTTTTCAATGATTTATCCGCTTGTGCTAATGTAAGAGATCCGATGAGAGATACCAATGTACGGTCTAACCATGTTATAGGATTAGGATACAGGAGGCCACCTTCGTAAAATCCCAGATGTCCACCATGAGCTAATTCTACGTATAATGTGTTCGGGTGGGTTTCTGTAACAGAAAAGCCATATAAAATATGCATTAAAAATTAATATATCATATATATAGACACGCATAATATGTATTATAACTTACTGGCATGTTCTTTAATGGGATCTAGTAATGTCTCAGGTACAATAGGGTCATCTAATGCGTTGATAAATACCATAGGTGTCGAAACATTATCGAGATAGAATTGTGAGCTACTCCATTTGTACATTTCATTTACAGATTTAAAGTTATGCACCTGTGTTGTAATTAATTGAAAATATCAATACGACATAAATTTTGACGGATATTCGATCAAATTTACCATCTATCGAGAAATATTTTACCTTTCTGGTGTAAGCTTCATCGAGTTCTGGTAACGTTGCAGCGGAAATGATATCCCATTCATTTAAGTTGTATCTTTGTTTAACTTCCTCGGATAACAATATATGTTTATGCTGAAGTATAATATTTTTCACGGATTCAGACATTATGTACAGGTAGAAACGTCGAAAGTTCTGCCAGTTAAGTAGGAACTTTGTACCTCTGCATATAAATTAAATAGAAATGAAAAGAACAGTTAATAAATCATTTGCTCTTATCATTATTCTATGCGTAAAATTTACATGCACGTGAATTACAGGTACAGGTACACTTACTCGAGAGCATTATATCCTTGACAGATAGATATTCCGCCGATTATATTGGATAATTTATTCGATCCTCGTTCTCCTAAGTACTTAGTCACAAGGTTACCACCCAAGCTAAAGCCAATGCAGACTATTTTCGTATTGGGATGCTTCTCTATCAAGCTCTGTAGCATCATATGATAATCGTCGGTGTGTCCTGCAATGTTTAAGTCAAACCAGTTGTCAATCATGAATTCAATTAACGCCAGGTCGATTGAACTGCACGTGAAATTCTTGAGATTTTCATGACCTAGACTGAACTAGTTAATATCAATGTAAATAATGATCTTTCAAACAAATCAGACTAAGGAGCAATGTTTTCAAGACATAAAAAGAGAACGTAGAAAACTTAATGTTCAATTAGTATCATATAAAAATTGCACAGTCTAATTTCCTAATTTTCTTCATCGATCAACTCGATCATTATAATTCATGGTCAACTGTTATGTAAATGAAAATATAAATGAAACATATTTTGATAACCTTTTACACTAAAAATAACTTTTAAATAGATAAAATTTACATTTGCATGCCTGGAATTACACAGAAGAAATATTAAGAGTAATTAAACGTTGAAACTTGCTAATTGCGCATAATAATTCTGTAAAAGTATCATTAGTTGCAAGGATAATTGTTCGTTGATGTATAATTACGCATACCGTAAGTAAAAATTCGCGGTGCAGTGATCTTTACACTAGAAAGTACTCCAACGTGATTAAGTACTGCACATCGGTATCCATGGCATTGTACAAAGTGTACGAAAGTTCTGATATAAACACTTTCGGAACTATTACAGATTCCAGGACAGATGGCAACTGTTACATCATCTGTAAACAGATAAATTACAAAACGTTACATCCAGAACAACTCCACCATTCTTCCATAACATTTCTAACGTATCGCCTACATGTAGATACAATAATTCTGTTTCATATCGATTTCACGTATACATCAAACGTTTAACTAATTCATTGTCATTGCTTTTACATAATACAACCTATTGTATAGGCGTCTACACGGATATGTACATTTTCCACTTTCAGCTTACAATTATTCAAATGCTTCGATTACCGAGTCTTAAAGTAACAAAGAAAGACAAGAAAGAAGAAAGACAAGGTACAAGAAAGAACTAATTTTCATTACATTTCAGGCTTATCAATCTATAACGCGTTTTAATATCTTGGAGAACTATCTTGTCTGTAGACGTTACTGCATACTATGCATTCAAGGCTTCGTTAATCTTCGGCCGATATGATAACAGACAAAATAATTTACACTGCTCGTTCGAAGCATCATATCGATTGACAGACTAGAATTCATTACAGATATACCACGCTCAAGCTTTAATCTCTATTAAACTTTGAACAACGCATATAGGTATCGAATCGTCAAAGAAACTCGAAATCGCTATACGTATACACGCACACACGCTCATTGATCTCGTTGTTTATCAGGCTTGCCAGGTAACTCAAACATTGATACGTTCAGGGAAAACGGAAAATTACATAACTTTTTTCAATTACGATCGACAGAACAATCGAGCCACAATTCTTTCTTGCGATTCGAGATCACGAATAAAACAGACCTTCGTAATCATTGGTCAGAGGCTGATAAAGATCGTAGGTGAGAGTGGTCTCATCCGGAAGTCCGATGTAGACTCGTTCCCCAATTGGCCAAGGGCAGCGGACGCGCCCAATAACACTGTGCACGATGGTCTGTACATGGCCACTGAAACCCCATAGCCTTGTTGGTTTGTACCTGAAACACGCAAATAGCCGTGATGTAATATTTTTTTAATGTCACGAACATCGGAGCTCGCAACCTCGCTGATTTCAGGCACAGATTTTACACGAGAGATGCATCTTCGATATCGCGATACGATTTACATCTCAAAGGTGGTCGCGGTGATATAAAAGTTTCGATCATGAGTTTCGATCATGCTATTTGCATTTCATAAGTTACAAACCGGCAGGGGAATTTACATCTCAAAGATATTTACAATGGAGACAGCAAACTCACGGGAACCGTTTCGTTTATCAAAGAGCATTAAGTAATGCACCTCGCGGATCATCATTTTATATATACTTCATACCGGCAATTCGGAACAAACGGTAACGTATAACAGAAAATTATCGCTTTTCTCAGTCGTAAACACAGCGAGCCTAGGTCGTTAAAGGGAAAAAGAAAGAAAGGAAAGAAAACTAGGAATCCTGGTGAAAAATGGAAAACGGGTCACGATGGTAGTTGGAAAGCTATCGTAAACTATTTTAAGCATAGGCGCATGCCATTAACAACGAATCGTAAAATTTCTTCAAGGGAGAAACACGCTCGTACGTCTCTGACTTACTAACCCGCGTAGCGCAATTTCTTTTTCGACTTGTTGATCCAGTTTTGCCCACCGGCGTGCGTACCGCGGCCGTGTTTAATTCGTTTTAACAGGGTGGTAGGGATGCAAGACAGTCGTTCAACCTTGTGAAAGTGTGTTTCTTCTTTAACGGCAGTTCTACGCAATTTTTGCCCGAAGGAAAAGCGAAGTTGAACGCGGCAGCGGACCATTAAACCACCTTCGTTGCAGCGTACAAACAGCGGCAGTAGATCAGTGGAGCATACGCGAAGCCGTAAAAATGGCTGGCATTAAACAGCCAATACCCGTGGAAAATATAACCTGTCGTGTTAGTGGCACGACAATGGAAATCGACTGGTTATAGCCGTGAAAAAATTTCTTTTAGGGGCGTCGTGCACGTTAGGGGCCCCGGACCTTTCCGTGTTTCATGCGGCCATTAAATTAACTATGCTACCAGACTATGCGAACGAGGACGATTGGTGGCCGGTAAGAATCGCACGCTAAATTATTAGCCGAAGTGGACCAGGTGTAAAATTTTATTACGATTTCTATACGCCACGAGTCTTCCCAATGTCCATACTCCATTTGCCCATCTCGTGATCCAATTTCTCCGATCGCAAGAAAGAATTTACTCAGATTATAGCGGACTCTAGGATTATACTTGCTGAAAACCCCTCGCGATTAAAATTTACGCGCGTGCTGCGCTATTCCCATGCACGTTCTTTCTATCGTACACGTAAGTACGTTCTATCAACTGTGTTTCCTGCTTCGTGCAGCGTTAAATTTCGTGTCATTTATGTAATTAGTAGATACTCGCGAGCGTGATAATGTCGGGGACGCTGATAAATGAAAGAGGATACAACAACCGCGAATTCTTTCGCAATCCGATCTAGATCTTGGGGCCACGGCTGAAAGTAAAAGCAATAGACGATGTCACGCTGCGAGTGAAATTCGCAGTCGTGCACCGATTGCTTCACGAGAACGATGAAATTCTTTCTCCTCTCCCCCCTCGGTTATCAATCGCAGGTTCGTTAATTGCGCGAAATTTTCTTCGCGCGAAATGAAAGAAATTACGCGCGATTCAGCGAGCTTGTCCATAACGTTATTTCTCTGCTCATTGCGAATATTCCTCGTCGAGTGTTCATTCACGATCGCGATGGCAGAGGCGGCGTTAATGACACACCTGTGCGTAATTGATAAGACGAGTCGTTAATTGTTAACTACGAAACGAGCGGTCATTAGTGGAAGAAATTGTACGTTTCTCATTAGCCTTCCACGTTTCTTGCTCGAATGTAAAGAAGCTATAGACGTCCCCTTGCATGCTTTTACAATGCTTACAGCTGCTTGCAGTCACGGTCAGCGTGTAATCGATCAAAAATGTACAAGAAGCTTGTTTTCTCACTTTTCACGCGGTACGATAACGCCTTGCGCGACAGGTTTGGTTACGTATCGAAACCGTTCGATAAAAATCGACCCATTGTGCTTGTATAACGGCGTGAAAATCATGGGAAGGAATTTCAACTGTTAGCCCAATTACAATGTTTCCAGCTTACATTGTCGCAACATTTTTCGCGAATTTTTCGTCCCTTCGAGAAATCAATGTCTTCGCGAGTACGTCCCGTTGTAAAAGTCGTTAATGCTAAAATGACTAAATTGGTAGAAATCTTATGGCCTATCGAGCTCGTAAATAAAGACGATATTATTAAAGGGCTCGTTTTGGAGTCATTATTTTCAGAGTTATCGAAAATAGCAGGCGCTTCTGTCGAAATTAATATCGTCTCTTATCGAGATAGCAGGGTAGTCAGATATACTTATTCACTTTTATTACCCCATTTTAATTATTATTAACCGTGCATACTATATTTAGATTTACGTTACAGGTCAGTAGTTCCCTAGACGAGAGAATAAAACGGCAGAAAATCGTCGGAAACGGAAAGAAAACGTAAAAGGTACGAGAGAACGATGTAAACGAAGCAATTTAGAAGATGCGTTAAAGCGTGGACATTTTTAAATCGAGATAATCCAGTCGTCGATGTTGCAAACGTGTTTGCCTAGTTTTCTCCTAATTTACAATAGCAGAAAGAAAAAGCATCGACTTTCGAGCTTCCAGCGTGAAAGAAAATTTATTGCGGCGCAACAATGGACGTTAAATAAATCATAGAACGAAAATTGAGGATCGGACATGCACGATCCGAGTCGATGGCAAAAGGAAAGTAACGGGGGCAGGGTAATTATTCAATTGCCGTTCGACGAAGAGTAATTCGTTTAATCAGAGATCGATCGTTGCAACGACTTTCGATTGTCGCGAAACCAGTCGCGTGGAAGATGTTTCCACGCGCGCCATTACGAAAAGGGATTTCATTTTGCGGAAGTAAAAGCGAAAGCAACGAGATTGCTTGATTCGCTAGACGAAGTGCAGGAAGTCCCTGTATGGAAATGCGCTGCTCGAACGGCTGGTTATTAGTTAATATCGATTCGCATGGCATTAGGGCTATCTCGAGAATCCATTTTGCATTTAATCAACGTATAATGCATGCCGAAATAGACGAGTCGATACGGCCCTGAAGAAATGATCCAAAGGACGAAATCCTCGGCTACGGAAAAATACAATAGACGTCTGGGTTCAGCTCCTACAAATTTATCAGCGTGCGCAATATTTTCCTTCGTTGAATTAACGAGGTCGTGGTTACATGACTAATCGCGATTTCCGTCGCAAGCTACAATATATGACTTAAAGATTCCATGAGACATAAACAAGTCTTTCAACAAATGCAATGATACGATTCCAATAAAAAAGCGAATATATCACGTAATCTCTTCTTTTTTCAGTTCTCCGAACTGAACTTTAACAGAGGTTCTCCACATTTGCTTCTTATCTTACGTTTCTTGCACATTAACATTTTAAAGTAAACATTTTTAATACTAGAAATACCAAGTGAGCCGAACGATGAATTTTGGAATTTTTATTCCTTTGGTTATTAAAAGCAATCGTTTAATATTAACTGCAAAAGTTAATATTAACTTCGATGCAAATAGAAACGTATTTATGTGTACGTTCATTCATATTTATTATTTATGAACATTATTCAGGTGTACTAGGGTCGAGCGTGTCTTATACAACTGATTTGCAACAAAATAGCCAGACAATTATGCGATCGATACATGAGACGTATTCGATAAAAATTCGTTGAATGTTTCATTTATTCCATGCGTCCATTCCTCTGAATCATTTTCCCGAGAAGGGGTACCTTATTTCTCCAATGAACTCATGTTTGAATGGCGTGTGCAAGATCGACCAGTTGAATTTGCACATGTCTTCTGCCATTTAATTCCAAACATACGGTCACGTGATCGATGAACTACCTAATACCTTAAAAATTTTGATCGAATTAATTCCTAAATTGTGATATAAATTGTATGCGAAATAACAATTATTCTTTTATCGCGAATACGTGATCCCGGAATTATACCATTCTCGTGGCTGAGCAAAAGTTTTTGTACGTGTAAGATGTATATGAGTCATCTGAGTTCGAAAAATATTCGTAACATTATAAAAAAAATATTAATCACGATCTGTCGATAAATGTGACGATATACCGAAGCATTTGTTCAGTGAGGTCATAGCCAAGATCAGAGCGAGCCATTATGCAATACCCAAAATGGAAGAACAATGCTAACGATTATACGTTATCTACATCGTTCTTCAAATTATTTCATCTCGAGTCAACTTGTCCCTGTTTTATTTCTTCTCGCGAAATTTTCGATAAATCGTGATAGAGATTTCAACGAGCTTCCCCGAAGATGAAACTGTGCAAGTATTGTATATACTTACGTTGTTTGATCAAAAGATGACCGATAGAGTGAGACGCTCTGCTTTGCGAATTAGTGGCACGAACGAAGGTGATTACTTCGGCAATTTTTTATCGCAAGATTATTTTTAAACCACGTTTCATTTTAAGCCAACTGCTTAAAATAGACTCTTAAAAGAATATTAACGTAAATTGCTTCGTTTTTCTTTTTTTCTCTTCTTCTATTTTTTTGAGTATTTTTTTCAACATTTTCGCTCTAGAAGATAATAATACACTTCACGTTCGAGTTACCTTTGTAATTATTTATTTGCTCAATAACGTATAATATGTATAACATTTATTTCATTATTGAACTGTTTAATTAATTTGTCCTTTTAATAATAAAATACGATGCCACTAATCACGAAGGTGTGATTCTCGTAAATTATATCACGAGTTATATCAGAAATATAGTACTGAATGCTTAAAACATATTGTGTAAATCGAAGAATTTATAAAACAGGCATTGATAGAAGAGTGTAACGACCTTACTGCACAACGGACTGAAATTAGATTTTCTATATCACGTATCTCGTGATGCAATTTAGGAGATTGATAGGGTCATTGTCTATTAGTGAAAACTAGATCACACTCGTGCTAAATGATCAAAATAAATCCTCCCATCTTTCCGATCGTATTTAATAACTTTCGCGAATTTCGTTTTCATCGATCAGTAAATCGTATTCGGTACGTTTCGTTATAAAAATCTTATTAGGCATAATTCTAATCTGAAAATAAATGGTTGAGGTAGGAAATTTGCCACGTGTGGTTATCATGCACATTATCATATGCAAGTCCGAAAAATATCCGGCGAACTGAATTAACCTAACCTCACTTTTCCTCTATGGGCACCATGTACGGAGGAGAGCTGATTTCGCGTGCGAAGCAGATGCAACTTAACAAATGAGAAATCGTTGGAAAACTTACGGTTCTGTGATGACAGGAGCAATTTTAAGAATCGTTGTAAGAAATGACTGATCTTGACAGACGATCAATGGCTTCTGCGGTGCACTGTTTACGTTTAATATCCTGAACAGGATGCATAGAATCACGGCGAACACGGCCAACAGTGCCGTGGACATGTTTTTCCTTTGCTCTGTTACGCCACAAAAATTCTATTTCCTTTTATGTTCCACGCCGATATCGTACAGGTATCGACGTACGAAAAGGAATGTTTGAGCTGCTTGTTACGCACACAGCGGTAGAAGCTGGAGGATTACGAAGGACTAAGACCGCTGTTCGATTGACGATGCTCGAAAACGTCGTACCCGCGGCAAAGACTGTATGCGACTGTATTTCGCGTTTGTTTTACCGGCACTTGACGGTCGATTTGCGCGTGCCTATCAATAGTTAAGTTCGCGGAACCTCCATCTGTCCGCGTCGGTCGAAACTTCGATTTAGATTAAGGCTGGACAGGCTAGGCCATACCAGGGTAGGTAGATGAACAGAGGTGAAATTTTTAGATGACTCTACTTCATGTATAAACGGTAGAAGAGCTGTACCTCGAATGTCGTGAATCACAGCTTGTAAGCCAGTTGCCATTTGTTGCTATTTGGAATCCGCTAATATTATCGGACTACTTTTCTCTCTGTCCTTTCTCTTGCCAGTTATACAGTATGGCCGGTTTAACAGTAAATGCGTAATTATTTCTTGGGCTATATTAAAGATGTAGTTCCCAGGTTGAAATTATATTTTTTGTAGGATTGGTATTGATACAGATTTCAATGTTGAATATAATTTATTTTCTAGTATCATAGTCTTTTTAGTAATACGTTTCAGAACTTGAAATGACATTTTTTAATTTACAATAAGTTTAACGTTTATGACAAAATTTGTATTCAGCAGTATGATCATTCCTCGAGCTGAGCAATTTTATTTTGTTTTGTAATATTGGTACATGTGTATTTAAATTAAACATACTGTATTCCAAGGTACCATGTATTTATATATATGATTAAATATCGTATATTTACCTTCTTCTATGCTTTCCACTGTAAGATATTTTATTGCAATAGATAAACAAATGAGAACTAAATAAATATTTTCACAATTGTAATATTAAACTTTAACGTCGTTTTACATTATTACGATAGGCACGAATGTATTTCGATCAGGCCTTACATCGTTCTCTTAAGGCGCAGCAATTATACCGGTGTTCTCAAATTGAAAACGGTCGAATCTTTTTCGAGGCTGCGAACGTATCGCAAAAGAAATCACGAAATATCATGTCACTGACCCGTAATCGTATTCGAGGACGTTAAAGAAATATTTGAGATGTAACTAAGGTCAAGGTCATTCGATCTACTTTCCGAATCGATACTTCGATAATTAATCGATGTAGAAACGACTTTTATAGTTCGATATTTGAAAATGCGACTGGTGCGCAGTTTTAAAAATCTCATTGTGCGCGTCGGTTATATTCGACTTCGGTTATTTTTTGTCTTTGTATTTTATAATAAAACATGTGAATAATTTGTTTACTTGATTTGTTCAACTTTATATATGTATCGTAAAGAGTATGTATTCGCGCATTTGACTTATAATATGTGAAATGTTTCAAAAAGAATAGTAAAAGTTGATTGTCTTGATGAGTTACCGTGCACGTGATAAATTGAAAAGAATACATGGCCGCCTTAGAATTAAACAATTTGTTAAAAAGCCAAGGTTTTAAAGTTTTATTTGATTCGAGCCAAATTGTGTGATACTTATTTTTGTATATTAAAAGTGCAACATTTATAGTTAAAAAACGGTTGAAATTATCGATGTAACCACTGTCATAGTAACCATTATTGAAGTAACCGCGTACGTATCAATGATCATACGAACGTAATAATTTTATTCGTTATTAATACACTCACAAATAATTCGTGATTTTATGTAATTAAAATACGAATTGATTAATTTTCTTCTATAATATACTTTGCACTAATGTCTGTATAACTGAAGAACAAGTAACATAAAAAGGAAAAGAAAAGAAAATGCGCGGGAAGGGTAAAAAGAAAATTGTCAGAAATAATGGCAAAAATGGGAAGAAAGGTAAAAACAGTAAAAATGGAAAAAATAATGGCAGCAAAAACAAGGGAACAAAGAGATCAAGAAGGAGTGGTGGCAGAGCAAAATTCACTATGGATATCTTCAATGAAGAAGTTATGGAAAATGCTTATTACACTTGTCACAATATTATGGATGTATTGAAGTGCAGAGGATTTCCTTGGCCAGAAAGTCAAAAGAAAAAGAAAAAGAAGGGAAAGAAGTGAATAATAACTCCTAAAGCAACTAATACTTCTGCAACAAGGTATTGAAAAATATATATATATATTTTCAAAGTATTATTTTAGTTTCAAATATAGTGAAAAAATATATAAACTATACTTTGTATATCTATGTCTGTGACATACACATTATATATTGTGTAATACTTGGATATAATGAACATCTTAACAGTTAATCGCTTCCATTCTCTGTTTCCATTGCTCCAATAATGAACTTGCAATATTCTTCTGTATCAAATTCCATATGATCAATCATGGATGGTCCATTAAACACACAATGTACTGTTACTGTCTCCGAATATTGTAAATCAGGTAATAGCTAAATAAAAATAAATTCGATATTATAAATCAATCAGTTATTTCTATATTTAGATAAAAATGATTTATTTAAACAACCTTTGGCGTGAGTAAAAAATATTGGGAACTATTCTGTTTTCCAGTCATTTTCACAAGTAAATTAAATACTCTTTTTTCATTTATCGCATCCATGCCCTGAGATAAAAATAAATTGTTAAAATATAATAATTATTTTATAAAATATCGCTGAAATATACCTGATTAATTTCATCGACGCATCGGAAGGGTACTCTAGATAATTCTTGAAGTGCAATCATATAAATAGCAGTAGTTACAGCTCTTTCTCCACCACTTTGATGATATCTTGTTAAATCTTGTAACTGGTCAATATCCCTGAATTTCACTTTAATTTTTAAACCATATTGATCAAATTCCATCTATAAATATTAAATATCATATAAGTTCTTAAATAATAGTTGCAGCGTCACGTTTTATTTGTTAATGACTCACGTTATTTTCCGGTTGTGCTAATAAAACTTCACCGACACAACCCATCTCCAAGAAATACATGCTGAAATTGGAATTAATTTTTTCAATGGTTTTCGATAGGGGTATTATCCATTCTTGTCGTAAAGCTTCTGTCTTTCGTGTAATTGTTTCCAGTTCTTTCGTTTTTTTCTGAATAAAATCTTTCACGTCATGAATATCTCTTTCTAGTTCTTCATATTCACGTAATACCTAAAATTAAAGTAATTGAAGATAAAATAATTTTTATTTGGTAAATTTATATTTAATCGTAATATTATGAGGCTCACATTTTCAGCATCTATGTTATTTCCCATACAAAATAATGTTGCCTGCGCGATATTTAATTCATTGTTAATTTCTGCTATGGTTGGTGGTAGTTTATTAAATGCTTTATTTATGGGCGCAAACGCTTTGTCTGAAGGATTAATGCCATTGGTAGTTTCCAGTGCTTCAATGTACATTTTCTGTACTTCCTCCTTCAGTGGTTGCAGTTCTATACTAAGTTGCTTCATTTTATCTTCTGCTGCTTTAAGTTTTTCTCTCAGATCTTGAGAATCGTTCATTTTCACTCTTAGCGAACGATTATGTAATTTTAATGCTAATTCAGTTTGCTCTCTAGCCGTAATACATTTAAAAGATTCTTCTAATTGAGTATTGTATGTTTTGTAAATGTTTAGTTGTTTCTCCACAATTACCTGTGAGATTTATATATAAATATTGTTGTTTTTTATAATGCAAAGAAATAATTACTCAATATTCGATAAAACCTTTATATCATTACTAGAAGATTCTTTTATTTTCTCAATACTGGTTCGTTCATTTTGCAAATCTATAATTTTTTTCTTCATCATAGATATTCTAGATTTTAATGTTTGTATTTGTTGGATATCCTGCTGATATTTGTTTCTATTAGCTCTATATTCATCTAATTTCTTGCTTTGTTCATGTACTTGCTCATCAATTTCCTTAATTTTGTTCAACACATCATTTTTATTTGCTTTTAATATTTTCAACCTAAAAGCGTATTTTAGTTATAATCTACTCAAAACATTAATTGAGGGTGTAGAAATATTAACAAACTTTTCTTCAATATTCAATAGCCTTGATTTATCCAATACAATAGATAACATTCCTGTACCAGATACTGGTTGCATTCCAATAGATTTTTCTCCTGTGTACTTAGATTTATTAACCATGTAGACGCTATTTTCTAAGAAGTAAAATTAGAATATAAGAGTGTCAATTTAGTTTAACACTAAAGCAATATATTAATATGCAATAATTTACTTACGACTAAAATAACAACGTATATTGTTTGGTATATAATCAATGTTATTATCAACCTGATTTGTTCCCACAGGTATATTATTTAAATTATACATAGTGATTAAATATTTCATAATAGTACTCGGAGCTTCGATCAGCGATGCTAGATAATGAGTAAAGCCAAGATCTTGAATATGTTGTAATGGAATAATAGGATCTATGGAAACGTGTTTTGTAGGATCGGAATGTACAACATTTACTTGTAATTTCTGTTCATCTCTTAAGTGATGTAGTAACATATTCATATCCCGCTTATTTTCACAAACGAATGCTATTAAATCTCGAAATGGAATAATATTTTCCAAATATTTCGCATATGAAGCATTTTTTACATTTATGTTAAGTAATATCGGTTTGTGAACTGTACTAGAAAATATGTTCTGATTTTCATTCAACCATTGTACTGCTTTATATGTATCAATACTTCTTTCCTTTAGTAATTGTAACCGTTTCGTTTCAATATCAAGAAGCTGTAGTTCTGTTTCTTGAGCTATAAATTTTATTTTGTTGTAAAACAAAAATAAGTAATTGTAAAACAAAAATACGGAAATAACGTGAAATAATTTACCTCTTATTTCAAGATTTAAGCGTTCTTGTTTCTGCTTTAATTCTGAATTGTTATTTATTAATGAATTAATCATATTCTTCCTGTTTTCTATGTTAGACAATATTTGTTGCCGTTGCTTTAATAAAGTTTCCTCTGCAAAATGTAACACATTTTAAAAATGTTGTATTATTTCGAGATGACATTAATGTAGTTAAAATTAAACAAACCAGATCCAATATCTTTTAACATCACTGATAAATCATTATCCAATTTGTTCTTTTGTTGCTGTGCAACATCAATGTCGTGGTCTCGAGCTTTTTCCATTTGAATTCTTTGCTTACACGCATTTTCACAATCTCTAACATTATTATCACAATCTTGAATATCATCCATCAGTTTTTTAAGTTTTGAAATCTTGATTCTGACTTTGTTACTCTAAAATTGCGAGAATCATAAAACATTTGTAATTATCTTATACATTATTCAATCTTACATGATCTGTAACAGAACTTTGGAGTAGTTGAATTTCTGATTTTGTTGTTTCTATTGCATCATTGATAGGTTTTATTTCTGCTTCTAAAGATATTACTTCAACTTTTGCAGCTTCCTTTTCCTTTTTCATCTACAAACATTAGGGGTTATAACATGATTATATACAAGACAATAATCATAAAATTATTTTTTTTATAATTTTTTATTTTTACCTTGAGCAGTTCTCTACGTCTTTGATCATACAGTATCCATACCTTTTTCTGTTTCAATGTAGCAATTTTTTTCTGTATTAATTTCTTTTCTTTTATACTACTCACATTTTCTTTCAAACCGTCATATATCTGAGATTTCAATTGCAATGTGTTTTGTTTACTTTGAATCTGCCCTTCTAGAGTTTTATGATCTGTTCGATATTGTATCAGATTTTTATGATGTTCTAGTAGTATGGGATCACAAGCTGACCTTTCTGTATTTTCTAATAATTCTTGTGCATTCATCTTTGAAAAGTCTTGTACTTTATCTTGTGGAAGAAATTGACATAAATTATCTATCTGAAATTTAAAATACATTGACAAGAAATTTCATTTAATTTCTCTTCATTCTTCCACTCCAATCTTTCTATATAGATATACCTGAATGTTAAAATTTTTTGTTACTTCAAGTATTTCTTTATTATTTGATGATTTTTCATTGAGAAACCATGAAGATTTTCCATGTATATTAAATACTCTTTGAATAACAACATCTCTCTCTTTTCCATTATTAAGATGAATTTCAATCTTTGCTTCTTCACATCCTGTTTTCACATAATCCATAACATGAGTTGCACGACCAATAGTGCTAGGTTTACCTCCTAATCCAAGTACAATGGCACAAACAATTGTTGATTTTCCAGTGCCATTAGGACCAATAATAACATTCAAATTCCTACCAGGTCTAACGCAAACTTTATTGTAGGTTCTACAATAGGATGAAAATTTGTTACATATTTTAATAGTTATCATTTTTAGTGAAATTGAACAAATGTTTTTAATCAAGACTTACACGAAATTTTCTAAATAAATATAAGTAATTATTCCTTTGTCAATGTGGTTATTATCCATAATGCTATTTGGTACAATTCCTACAAATAAAATAAAGTTAATTCATTAGAGAGGAATAAATTTTTAATTGTTATAAATTTATAGCAGTATCGTGCAAAATAATAATTATTTAATTTTAATTAATTTATACGGTTTTAGTTATTATTTACTTGTACTTTAGATTACACGAGGGATGGCACGTAAACATAACCTGTTTGAAACGACTACAATCTGTCTTGAGAAATATAATACTAATAGATATAGCTTATAGTCATACAAGTTGAACCATATAGTAATTAATTATTATAGAGACTACGTAAAGTACGTTTAGGTTTAATTATGTAAAAATGTATAGCTTATACATAGAATATTCAGAAATAAAATATAATTTCTTATATAATATTCAGATCCATTGATAACCTCATAGTTTTATTAATGAACAGGATTATAAAATTATCATATGTATCGTATCTAGATTTGTTTAAGAGTAAATCGATATATTTATTGAAACTTATTTGTTATTAATATTAATGCTATGTTCACTATTTATTTATGTTAATGACTTCTGCTAAATTATTGTTTTCTTGTACCACAAACTACGATTCTTTCTAAAACGAAAAAAATTCTATGACCGAGTACGATAAAGTGTGACAAAAAAATGTCATATCTAACAACAAGAGTAAACACAGGAAGTTGATAAAACTGACGCATAGAGCAACAATATTAAAAGATATGTACTTAATTGAGAAACTAACGATAGCGTGTAACTCGAACGCAAATTTGTCTATTAACATAGTATTTTTCATAAACAATAAATAGGTTTTTATAACCTAATTTATCGTCAGCGTCCGTTTATCATCATCGAAGTTTTGTAACGTATACGAAAATCGAATAACAAATAAAATAGTAATTCACATCATCTAAGAATAATTATATTCAGAGGCATTGTCCTTTTAAAATAACATAAAAGCTCTTCTATGGTAGCTGGGGACTCTTGAAAACACAGGATAACAGAAGCTGAAATCGATAAAATGGCGTGTCGCGAATTACTTTTATCGATTAATTTTAATCAAGATAATACTATTGCTACTGCACTTTCTATCTGTTTTTAATATTACAAGACATTTTCCCTTAATGGATCTTTTCATCTTATTTACCCAATGCAGGTTCGCATAAAAATGATTAAATTCTATTACCGCACGTCGGACGGAGTTGTCTTCATTCAGTGTATTTTAACACACGGTAATGAAAGGGTCGGTAACTTCTGCACGAAAAAAAGTTTCATTTGTTTCAAGTAAAATTAAAAGAAGTTAAATACTTGTGCGAGGGACTACGTAAAATTAATTTAAAAAAAGGTTCCATCGTTTTAACCCTACTTTTCACGATGTTCAGTCGACTAACTGAATTAAAATGGAAGGGAATTAAAAGTCGTGAAACGTGGTCGCACTTTGCGAGTTATGCATTGTTAATAGGACCTACTACTTTCGTCACTAGTGTCATGGGTTTCTTGTCGTTCAAACTCAAGTCATCGAAATTCGTATTTTGGAAAATACATTTCGTTTACGCCACGATCTTAACAGCTCTTTACACAGCCGCCATGATTATTACTGCATACGTATATAACAGCAGCCTAAGATTTAAAGATATATCAGAACTGGTGCACAGTAATTTTATCATATTTTTGAGCCTTATAATTTTCATCGCGGCTTACGCGAATAATCGATCAATGACCAAAGCGATTCAACGTGTCTCAGAGACTTCTCTCGTAATACCTCCAAACATCTTTTGCAAACTGACAAAGATAATCTTCATGAAAGATTTAATGCTTTTTATACCGTTACTGAGTTTTATTCCTACAATCTTAAGACTTGATAACCAACATTTCCATTTTCTGATGTGGTACACGTTTGTCGGGGTTGTGACACTGAATAATTTGTACACGAACAACGTGTACGTGTTGAGCGCCTGTTTCCAGCAGATAAACGAATCTCTGGAGAAAGTGAAGGAAATTCTGATCAACGAGGAGCCTCATCTCCGCAGAAGAGTTATCCACGCGCGGAAGAATCCTGTGTTGCTTACGATGTTGAGGAGACAAAAGAAACAACACTTGGAGACGAGTAAAAGTGTTCACGAACTGAATAATGCGTTCAGTACGCAAATGGAAGCATCATTATTTTTATTCCTCTGTCACATTACATTTAACCTTTATACTAATCTAGTCGTGTACAACGGTGGAGGCAGGATTAAAGTGTTCAGCTATCATATCAACTTTGCATTCTTTTATATAATTCATGTGGTTGTGATAATCATGTTCGTGGATATTACTAGAAGCGAAATAGAGAAAATTGGCTGGAACCTTCATAGAATTCTGATACACACTTCGGATGAAAAGATGGCGACGGAGGTAAGGTGAAACGAGCAATAGTTTTTCTCAAATGATCGAGCGATTTCTGGATTTCAAACCTTTGCACTCGACGATTTTTTGGCTACAGAAGAGTAGAAAATCAAAGATTCTCTACTAAAAAACTGACGATACTTTTCCGAGCAGTAAATAAAGAATTGTATAATAATAGAATTTGTAGAATTATTTGACTTCGATACCTCGCACGCTGTTACATTACATTTGATATATTAATTAATATCGATCTTCCAAATTTTGTGAAATGGTGACTGATGGTCACCCCTCGAGTGCAAAGGGTTAATCGATTATACGTCAATGTACAGTAACTTCGATGTATGTGATTGCAGTTGGAGATGTTCTCGTTGCAAGTACTCCAAAGAGGCAATACGTTCACCATGAAGGGGATTGTATTAGATTTCACGTATTTCACACAGGTAAATTTTCGTGGTCCTCGGTCGAGCATGATCAATTCTTTTCATGGTTTTCTTGTTACAGATCGTGTGCGGTATCGCCACCTTTTTCTTAATACTGATACAATTTTTATTCCGCAAGTCTTGTTAAAAAACAATTTGGATCAATCATGCTGATACGGTTGGTATAAGTGGATGAGATACATTCGAGAGACAATTGAGCTGGAAGGAAACTAATCCATAAGGAAAGTAGCC